GCCCGAGGGAGGCAGGAGTGGCTGGGGGGAGGGGATATTTGCCTCCCTGTCTCCAGGGTCAGTGCTGCTCTGTGGGTGCAGCCGGGCAGCAGCAGGGCCTGCGCTGTCAAAGGGACCCAGGAGTCCTGTGAGGCCCCTGGCTGGGGACAGCTGGGGGGTGGGGAGCTGCCAGCCCCAGAGAGGGAGGACTGGTCGGGTTCTGCTGCAGCACAGGGAGGGTTAATGGGTCTGGGTGCAAAGGGCTCCCCAGTGTCCTGGGAGTGGCCAGCAGGGCCCCCAAGCCCTGGCGGGGGGCAGCGGCTGGCAGGGGGGATGGGGTCTGCGTGCCCCGGCGCTGTGAGCTCCCCGGGCCCGTGTGCCCAGACCACCCACAGGCAGGCGGCTGCTCCGCTCCCCCAGGCAGAGCAAAGTCCGGCAGGTCGGGTCAGGCCTGCAGCTGGGTGAGCGGGGGAGGCAGAGCGTGAGCGAGTGGCAGGGCACAGCGGGGCTGGGAGGGGGGGCTGGTCCCCTGGCAGCCCAACCCCTCCCTGGGCTACAGCCAGCTCCACGGCAGGCTGGAGACTGGGGTACAGCCTGTGGGCTTTTCTGCTCCATGGGCTTCCCCCCGCAACACCCGACGGGGCAGAGCCCTAAGCACCCTGCAGCCAGAGAACAGCTCCCCGCTTGGGCTCGCCGGCAGCTCCTGTGGTGTCCAACACACTAGCCACACAAGGCTGTTTGGCCGGTTGTGTGGGGCTAGGTGGCTAGAATAATAACTCTAGACCCACCGACAGGCTGACAACAGTCCCCGTTTCTGTGCTCACCAACAGCCTGACAACAGCTCTGCCCTGGCCTGATCCAGGACTCTCAGCGCTGGGGCCTCCAGAACCAGCAGGGGGTCGCGCGGGCTCCCCCTCCCAGCTGGAGCCAGTCACTCTCCTGCACTGGCTGAAGCGCAGGTCTGAGCCACCCTGCTGTGCTCCCTGGCTGGACAAGGGACCAACCCTCGGCCACTGAACGCCGCGGTGCTGCCGGGTGTACCTGGTGCCTCTCCTGGCAGGAGCTGCAGCTGTCCAGCAGCATGGCAGAGACCCGGCTGAGGGCGTTGTTGGCTAGCCTAGGTGCCCAGCTCCTTGGGTGCTGGCGCTCTCCTACCGCTGGGGCAGCTGCCCAGTGCATGGCATTTCCACAGCACCACTAAGGGCCATGCACTCGGACAAGGCCGTGCGGTGGTCTGCCTGGCTGGGAAGCCCTGGCCCAAGGGCTTGTTTGGGACAGTTACGTTGAACTCTGCAGCCGATACACAGAGGAGCTGCAGTAGGGCAAATCCTATGCCAGCTGGGGTTTCGTAGGCACACAAGCGCTTGCTTGTTCCTCCTAGTTAGCGTGTGTGCATGTGTGCAGAGGTGTGTTAGTGCATGCAGTGGTGCGTATGCGGGTGCAGAGGGGTGTTAGTGCATGCGGTGGTGCGTATGCGGGTGCAGAGGGGTGTCAGTGCGTGCGGTGGTGCGTATACGGGTGCAAAGGGGTGTTAGTACGTGCGGTGGTGCAGGTGCAGAGGGGTGTTAGTACGTGCGGTGGTGTGTATGTGGGTGCGGAGAGTGTTAGTGTGTGCGGTGGTGTGTACGCAGGTGCGGAGGGGTGTCAGTGCGTGCGGTGGTGCGTATACGGGTGCAAAGGGGTGTTAGTACGTGCGGTGGTGCAGGTGCAGAGGGGTGTTAGTACGTGCGGTGGTGTGTATGTGGGTGCGGAGAGTGTTAGTGTGTGCGGTGGTGTGTACGCAGGTGCGGAGGGGTGTCAGTGCGTGCGGTGGTGCGTATACGGGTGCAAAGGGGTGTTAGTACGTGCGGTGGTGCAGGTGCAGAGGGGTGTTAGTACGTGCGGTGGTGTGTATGTGGGTGCGGAGAGTGTTAGTGTGTGCGGTGGTGTGTACGCAGGTGCGGAGGGGTGTCAGTGCGTGCGGTGGTGCGTATACGGGTGCAAAGGGGTGTTAGTACGTGCGGTGGTGCAGGTGCAGAGGGGTGTTAGTACGTGCGGTGGTGTGTATGTGGGTGCGGAGAGTGTTAGTGTGTGCGGTGGTGTGTACGCAGGTGCGGAGGGGTGTCAGTGCGTGCGGTGGTGCGTATACGGGTGCAAAGGGGTGTTAGTACGTGCGGTGGTGCAGGTGCAGAGGGGTGTTAGTACGTGCGGTGGTGTGTATGTGGGTGCGGAGAGTGTTAGTGTGTGCGGTGGTGTGTACGCAGGTGCGGAGGGGTGTCAGTGCGTGCGGTGGTGCGTATGCGGGTGCGGAGGCGTGTCAGTGCATGCGGTGGTGCGTATGCGGGTGCGGAGGCGTGTCAGTGCATGCGGTGGTGCGTATGCGGGTGCGGAGGCGTGTCAGTGCATGCGGTGGTGCGTATGCGGGTGCGGAGGCGTGTCAGTGCATGCGGTGGTGCGTATGCGGGTGCGGAGGCGTGTCAGTGCATGCGGTGGCGTGTACGCGGGTGCGGAGGAGTGTCAGTGCGTGCCGTGGT